GTTGAAAATTTATTATTCTTTATTTTGATATATTGGTAGCCCATAATTTGTATACACATTAACTTCTCTATTATTATTATCTACTAGTAATTGTTTTAGACAATGAATGGATTGATAAAGACTTGGTTATGTCCATGAGCTGGTTACCTTTTTTCGAGGAGAAAATTTTGGGAGTAACTTCAAAAATTATTATTCTTTATTTTATATGTTGAGCTAACATTACTTTTACATATTAGCAATTTCCAAATATATATGCTTTAAACCTCTATGTGCTTGTAAAATTTAGATGGTAGAATTTGATCAAAAATTTGTTGGACTATCTATCTAATATTTATATTATATATATATATATAAAGAAATCTTTTTATAATTGTGGCATAGCAAACTTTCATATCACAACAACGAAAAAAAATATTAAAATCATTCAACTTTGCCAAAGGCAAGAAAATTTTCTATTTGTAATAATAATGCATATGTAGGAACTTTAAAACAATAAATAACAAGTAATACCAGTGATGAAGTCACTATCATAAAGCATTCATCTAGTTGTTTTATTATTAATTATTTATTTTTTTTTAAATTTTTTTTTCATGAATTTAGGTTGTTGTTGCGAGTTGTAAATTTATTAATAATAAAATTAAATAAAGTTTTTAGAACTTTTAAACTGATCCAAGATAATAAACCCAATAATGATAACAATATTGTAAAGAATGCACCATAAACATCATAATATTTTCCTTTAAAAAATCCCATTCTGGTGTCAGGTGTGATCCATTCTCTCATCAATCCATCAATATCTTTATCATCTTCATCTCTATCATCTAAAGCATTTGCATGTATCATATATTCAATTAAATCTGCTGCTCTATACTTTCTTTTGCTGTTGATTCTAGCCAAAGTTTTTGCTCTTTTACAACTTTTTTCAATCTTTTTGTCATTTAACAATATATCTAATTTTTCAATAATTTCAGGCACATTTAATGATAGTTTATTTAATGTTAAACCAACATTAAGAGATTCCAATCTTTCAGCATTTCCATATTGATCATATGCTAAGGGAAATGACAATACTGGTACTCCATAATATAATAATTCATGACAACTGTTTCGACCTACATGACTTAAAATTACTTTAATATTTTCATGTGCTAAAAGTGCCATCTGTGGCACATGATTTGCAATGTAAAGGTGTTTAGCCATTGTTGGATTTAACAAATCAAATGATGGTAAATTTTCTTTAGGTGTTCTGCCTAATGACCATATTATACCATCAATCATTTTTTTATCAATTGCTTCAATGAGTGCTTTTAATAAAATATCATTATTTTCTTTTGTTGTATAAAAAAATGTTCCAAATGTTACAAATACTGTTCGAGAATGCTCTGATAAAAAGTTCTCAAGTTCTGGTGATAATGATTGTATATAATCTGGTAAAATCGGACCAACATCCA